TCAATTTTTTGCCAATTTTATTTTCATGACTTTAAAAAAATGTAAAATCCACAAAAATTTTGAGACATGAAAATTTTCTGCTATACAGTAATACACACATACAATACATTATTAATAATATTATTAATAATTAATGTAATTATACTAATAATACACTCACCACTGATGTATCAGTAAATTCAAATACATATACATCATTGCTGTAGCTATTATGACCAATACTACCACCAAACAATATAGCAGTGGTATTAGTTATTGATGTTAAAGGGAAGTCATTAATAGGAGGTGGTCTGTCTCCAGTGACAGTTGGTGAAGTCCATTCACCTAAAAATAATAAAAATAATATGAACACACACACACACTGTGAATTAATCATAGTGGAAAAATGGTTGTACGTAATTTTTCAGAAAAAAATTTGAGAATTTATTTTTGCAAAACTCAAAATACATTTATCATTAAACTACATAACTTAATACTGACCAGTTTTTAATCTGTACATATGTACTTCATTGCAACGTCCATTACTGTACTGGGCACCAGGTTGTGGTGGAGTATTATTAGAAGATGGTCCACGTCCACCGATTACTACAAGATAGTCCTCACTGTTCACTTTTATTGCTATCATGCTGGAGGTGAACTTCATCATAGGACCATGATGAGATGTAGTAGGAGAGAGTTCCTTCCAATTGAAGGTATCAACATTAAAACTGTATAAAATATTATATAATATTTATCAGTAACTATTATGTTTACCTGTATAAACTATTATGAAAACATTCATCGTGACCACAATAGCCTCCAAAAAAGAATATTTCATTTCTAATGACAGCAGCAGCATATCCCCCAACACCAAGTGGAGGGTCACCAGTGGTAGGCTTTTGTACCCACATACCAGTTGGTAGGTGGCACACCTCCACTACAGAACAGAATGATTTCTTCTCCTCATTATTGTGTACTCCAGGGAGATCAGGCTGGAACCCACCCCACATGTACAGGTAGTCTCCTACCTGTACTGTAGAGTGATAGTCCCTCTCCACTGGTTGATAGACTATAATAATAATAAATAAATAATAATAATAATAATAACTTTACAAAGACAAAGTCAATAATAAGACAACAAATAAAAAGCAAAAGTTAGAAAAGGTGTCTCTGAAGGACTCAATGACTGCGGAGTCAAAGAGCCTGAATAACAGTAAAAATTAATTAAATTACACTACATTAAAAATTAAAACAGTATATTGTACATTAAAATGATGAGAAATTAGGAGTTTTAGGGGAGTGGGAACATTTGTTGCATGCACATAAAAATGGTTTCATAAAAACTTTTTATAGATAACAAGAGGACACAGTAATATAGTGAATAGTTATAATAAGCAGAGGATACAGAGGAGTAAAGTAAGGGAGAGAATAAGAAAGAAAGAGATATAAAGAGAAGAGAATAAAGACACTCACTTTCTGAAGACATATCCAAAACAACAGTGAGACACCCCCCCACAATATCATAACTGCATCAAGAGGAGAGGCTGTGAACGGTATACAAAATATTTAATTAACCTAATGGTCTATGACCTCATTACCAGATGAGTAGACAGACTAAGACAGTAGACACTGTGAATTGTAACAATGAGACACACCCACTCTCTCTTCTCTTATCCACTGACTGTCTCTAGTACACACATCAAGAGTACAACCAACTTACATTATACTAGACGAATGTATAACATTAAAGGGGCGAGCCTAAGCAAGTCATAGTGTATTATTTATGAGCAAGCAAAGGAATTGTATTCATGTCTATGCAAAACACAAAAAAGTGAAAATTTTGTCCAAGCATGTCATTAGCTAGTCATCTGATCACTTATGAAATCTCTGCAGCAATTGGATAAAGCAAGCATTAATGATCTGTTAGAAGCAGTCACTAAACAATTTGTATTTTGAAGAAGTTTGTACTTCTGCTTTGCTAACCTCCCTTGCTGCTAGAGATGACTCAGCAGCAGAAATCATTTGCATGCAGCTTTCCCATTGCAGCATTCAGCTTATCAGAGTCCTTTGTATCAATGAAAAGGTTGTATGTCTGCTGTCCCAACCTATCTTGCTGCTACAGAAGTCTTTGAACATCAGTTTAGTCTTGTCTTGTTGACCGTTTGCTGCAAATAAGCTCAGACTTGCTGCTAGCCACCATTTTATTCATTTTGACCACACCCGCTTTCAATGAAGATTAAGCTATTTAAGTTTAATAATACCGTAGGACGACTAATTTTCGCAAATGCTAATTAGAATTTCCATGGAAACAGATTAGATAGTTGCTATGGCGATTGACCACGTGTTTATACATTTACAGTGTCCAGCAGCTAA